CTGCTCGACAAAGTCGACAGCGGAGCTAAAAAAGGACTGATGAAATCATTTACATTAAGTAGAGGGTTAGACATAAAACCAGGTTGTATTTACATCATATGTCAATTAGTGACATGTAATGAGGCACACTATACTGCATATGTTTCTACTTTTAGGTTTTGACAGAGCCACGGCTTGGAGTGATGAAGTATAAGTGCACCATGTTCTCAGTAACAGTTTATTGATTATTGTTTTAGGTGACAACTCTGACCTTAACAGAGTCAATGTTTTTCACTGTAAAATATGAAACTCTTTTCATCTGTCTAAAGACATTATTGTATTTGCTTACCGGTATTTAATACAAGGCACATATGAGCTTAACAAATTTTTTGCTCAAATTTAAGTACACCAATCTCACAAAGTGCACTGATCCAATCATTTAATACAAAATTGTTCAACAGGTCATTCCAACACTGTAGGCATCTAATAGAGCAAATACAGAAGTCTTTGCCCTACTGCCCTACTTGTTTTTTTAAAAAGTATTTTATCTGGCATATTGTGTGTATGAGAAGTGTGATATTATGAAATAGTTGGGATTGCATTTTAAAACAGTTTGACTTACAAAGTTGTGATCATTAAAGTGTTATATTACTGGGTCATTTGTTTTTATGAAATTTATGGCATACTGAAATGATGAGGAATTAACATGACAAGAATGAGGTCAGATTTTATTCCTTGACACTTCAAAATAGATACATAGTAATTGCTTGTTTCAGTAGAACTGCTCTGTATAGTGTAGTGAGCTAATATTAGGTAGTAGCTATATAGATGATATGAACAGCTTTAGAAACACAAAATGGAGTCATCAGTAAATGTCAAACAGAAAGGATTTTTAGGAAATATCAAACATACTAAAGATATTAAGTGATACAATAGACCATTTTCCGTTCACTGCGAGAATCACGCGTTATGCGTGAAATCGAACGTAAAAACAGGACAAACAAAGGTCATAGCGTCGTAGTGGCGTCAAACATCGCGTGGGATTCGACAAACGTGAAAGTATTTTGGGGATATTTCCATGCTTAATAATGTGCTGTACACATTTGATGATAAACAATTTTGATGGTAATGGTATTCGAAAGCAATATTCCTCTGTCGAAGATCGGCCGGTCGATGTGAGCTACGAAATAAAGAAATTCGAGTTCAAAATCAAATCGTTCGTTTTTTGCGGCAGACGTTCTACGTGCGTCTTTCATACATCTCGCGAGATCTCGCAGTTGAATGGAAAATCACCTATTGCATGTCTGTACATAATACCATATTCCCCATGAATAGTAAAATGTCACACAATCACAGGTATTATAGTTGAAAGGCACTACTTCATGTATTGCAACTTTTGATGGGTCACAGTCTGACAGTCTGGTATATCAATTTGTCATTTCATACAACTACCATTTAAAGACATGTATCAAATGAGATACATTGTTATCAATCATATGTATTCTTAATATTGATCAACTAACAAAATTTCATTTCCAAGTACTTCAAAGTACTTTCACTTCATTTTCAGTTGAAATTTATTTCTGATACTTTTCAGTGAAAATATAAAATTCATAAAAATAAAATACCTTTTCACATATTTTACATTCAACTAAAAAATCAGTGAAATTAAAATTCATACAAAACAGCCAAAACATCCTTTCAGTCAAATTAATTCCAGCTAAAATAAAGTATTTGCAGTATATTATTTGTTGTGTAGAGTTTGTCTTACACAACCATCACAACATATTAAAAACAACTTTTCAAAATTTTACTCAAGTTTTGGTAAAGCATGCATGTTCACAACACTGGGATTATGAGTACCAGTGTGGGATCTAATCACACATGAAACAGTTTTGTAAAAGGCTCTCTGATTTGATAATATTAGTAAGATCGATAGAGATGCCCAGAATATTGTCCAATGGCGTGATGCATAACATAACGATGGCTTTGCTTTTAAATTAAATATGTATCTGTTCATATTAGTTTTTATACAGTGAGGCTCAAAAAGTATCTGCTTGGCACTTGTACATTCAACAGATGATAGGGAGTAGGTTTTGTGATGTGGAAAAATACATCCATAAAAGACTGCGAGCATCGTATCTTAACAGGTATCAATTTTGTTTTCTCTTATTATTAACATATTTTGATGTGATGTGAGAAAAAGAATCCACACACCTATGGCCTGGGACGAGACTTCTCACACAAGTTTGCAATTTCTGCTGCGTGTGAGATTTTTCATCTCAGGTCCTTAGGGTGTGGGATTCTATTATTCTGACAATAGCATGCTTCTGCAGCGCATACACATCTATTTCTACGGATACTCACCTACGATAAGTCCACTAGAAATACCAGGTATGCCAGGAATATGATGAGCTTCACTATTAAAGAAGTATTCACATGCTTCAGTATCATTCTTCTCATCATTACAATATAATGGATAAATAGGACCAGACAGATTGGTTGTACACCATGGTTCACCATCATGTAAAATGTAGTCTTTGGCTAATAATCTGTCACCCAGTAAGCATACACTAGGAATTGAAAAATGAAAATAAATAGTATCTTGCAGTACACAATGTATGTCTGTCTGTCTGTCTCTCCCTCTCTTTCCTTCTTTTCCTCCTTCTCGCTGTGTTGCCGAAATAGCTTGTATCTCTTTTTAATACACTTTGAGATGATATTATTCTTTATGAACTAGACATGGCTTTGAGGTCCAAGGTCTAAGGCATTAGTGTTCAGTCCATAAACGTTTTATCATATACCTTAAGGTTTCAGGGTAGTGGTTTTTTATTTAATTAATTTTATTTCTTCCATTTATTCAAACGTTCACAGTTCGGATTGATACTTGTGCGCTTGACATCGTGACAAGAAGAAGACACAAAAGTGTCCTAGCATTTGCTCACCACTACCGCAACTCATTTTAACCAGAAGCACTTAAATGTTGTTAGAATCCTACCCTGAATATATCTATGCATCCAACAGATAGTTGCAGCTAATGTGATTAATATTTTATATCGGTGAACTTGACAACATATCACATATCAAGATTTCAACGTGTTTGCCAAAACATGTTTGGTCAAACAGAGCTGGACGTGATATTGGAAATTATTGCATGGCTCGCTCATCAGTTTTCTCATAGTATTGTGAGGTTGGCAATACAAGGTATATGAAAAAAGCTCTGAATCAAAGTATGAAAATAAAATAGTGGTTATAGCCAGGAATTTAAAAATGCCTATAATATAATGCTAGAAATTGTCCTTTTAGTATAATTTTGACAAAATTGTCAAAAAAAAAGAACAAATAATTTTAACTGATTGGTAAATAGTTTAATTCAAAATTAACGTAACTTACTAGTTGTTACATTTTATACACTAAATTAGAAAAATCAACTTTTCTATATGGTTGTAATAAAGTTTAATCTGATCATTTATTGACATTTCTACAAAGATATCTTTTATCGACCAGATGGTTACACACAATGGTATCCAAGGGAGATTAATGTAATGCTTGTACATTGTATTTACTTTTAAGGTTATTTTTTACTGTTTTATTTACACTACTAACTGTTAATTCTAGAAGACTATTGTGAGGTT